CGCCGCCGCCGCCGCCGCCGCCGCGGAGCCGCCCGCCAAGGCAGCCAAGGCCCCAGGTGTCAAGAAGCCCAAGGCCATCCGCAAGCTGCATTTCGAGGATGAGGTGACCACGTCGCCCGTGCTGGGGCTCAAGATCAAAGAGGGCCCGGTGGAGGCGCCGCGGGGCCGCTCAGGGGGCGCGGCGCGGCCGCTGGGCGAGTTCATCTGCCAGCTGTGCAAGGAGGAGTACGCCGACCCGTTCTCGTTGGCGCAGCACAAGTGCTCGCGCATCGTGCGCGTGGAGTACCGCTGCCCCGAGTGCGCCAAGGTCTTCAGCTGCCCGGCTAACCTGGCCTCGCACCGCCGCTGGCATAAACCGCGGCCCGCGCCCGCCACCGCCCGCGCGCCGGAGCCCGAAGCCGCTGCCAGGGCTGAGGCACGGGAGGCGACGGGCGGCGGCAGCGACCGCGACACGCCGAGCCCCGGCGGCGTGTCGGAGTCGGGCTCCGAGGACGGGCTCTACGAGTGCCACCACTGCGCCAAGAAGTTCCGCCGCCAGGCCTATCTGCGCAAGCACCTTCTGGCGCACCACCAGGCACTACAGGCCAAGGGCTCGCCACCCGCGCCCCCGGCGGAGGACCTGCTGGCCTTGTACTCCGGGTCCGACGATAAGGCGCCCCAGGAAGCGGCCGGCGACGGTGAGGCGGCTGGCATGTTGGGCCTGAGTGCGCCCGCCGAGTGCCACCTGTGCCCGGTGTGCGGGGAGACGTTCCCCAGCAAGGGCTCCCAGGAGCGCCACCTGCGCCTGCTGCACGCCGCCCAGGTGTTCCCCTGCAAGTACTGCCCGGCCACTTTCTACAGCTCGCCGGGCCTCACGCGGCATATCAACAAGTGCCACCCGTCCGAGAACAGACAGGTGATCCTCCTGCAGGTGCCTGTGCGTCCGGCCTGCTAGACTGCGTCCTGCACCCCGGCCCCCTGAAGTGTGCCTTCGCTTGGAGACCCACAAAGAGAGCGCGCCCTACGCGCCCTGAACCCGCGTCCGCGCCGGAGGCGCCCTCCCCCCCCACCTCCAGAGTGTCTTCTCCGCTTTTCACGGTGTGGCGTGACGGTAACCCCGACCCTCTCGTCGTGACTCCTTTTGGATCCCCCCTTTTGCGTTGTCTCCCCACCTCTCCCCGGATGGCGCAACAGGAGCCAATCCCTTTCTGTACAAGGGAGAAAAGCTATATGCGTTTGTCTCGTGGTTGGAAGCCTCCCCTTGGAGGGGAGAAGCTATTTTTCTTGCTAGTATTCGCTGTGTTCATGGTCTAGAAATGCGGTTTGCTCTCGCCTGCCACTCTCTGCTCTCTATGTCTGTAGCGTACGGGTTGTTTTGGGTGAATCTTGAGGAATAAATGCCTTTATATTTCACAGGCTGTAAATTGAACTTCCCTCACGATTAGCTTTATTATGGCTTGTGAACTGCTGGAGTCTGGCTTTACCTTTTTGTATGTGAACAAATCAAATTGCTTACGAAAGAGTTTTCTTTAGTATAGCCACAAATGCCTTGAACTGTTGTCTGTTTGGGATTGTTTTGGGGGGAGGGAAGGGAATTTCAGAAGATGCTGTAGAAACTGCCTCAATATTTCAAGTAAGAATTTGGTTTGATCATCTTTGTTGAGGTAGAACTATATGAGTTTTCTCTAAATGTATATGTTGATTTATGAGTAATTGTTATTTATTCTTTATTTATTTATATTAATTATGAAGATTATGATATTATTTGATTGCAGATTTTTTGGTGCGCTTTTGTTTTCCCTGCCACTCTTGACATTTCACTGTGCATTTTAGAAAAGAGCCTTTTTCTAAAGGGATCTGCTAAAAGTTTTAACTTTTATATCTATTTGAGTGAATTACAGACAACCTACCATTTTATTCTGCTAGGAGGACCCCCGAGGCCCTCATACAACTGACAGCTCTTACTTTTAAATGCAATCTCTTTTCTACATACATTATTTTCTTAATTGTTAGCTATTTATAGAAAGCTTCAATAGAACTGTTTTGACTGTACAACTATTTACTATTGAAATAAAATATTTTCAAAGTCAAAGCAAAGTGGACTTATTTCTGCATCTCATGATTTCAGCAAGGATTTAAGGGAGAGCTTCTGATGCTTTTTAAAAAGCTATCTTTTTTTAAAGTAAAAAAAACCCCACCATCGCTAGGGTTGTGAATTTTTAGAGCTGAGGCTGAACTGCAGGAGTCTGTCCTTCTGGCAGTTGAGGGTGTAGCCTCTGGAATGGCTACCTGGAGCTGAAGTCTTGCTGGAGTCCCCATGAATGCACTGGAAGGGAGAGTTAAAATGAAGGCCTGTGAGCATCATTTTCAGAGAAATCTAGATAAGGGCCCACAACAATCTATTCTTTTAACCAAGGAACTGTAGGAACATCACTTTAATTTAGCAAATTGTTCATTCCCTGACAGTTTGGGGCTCAGTATAATAGCAATTCCTCAAATAAATAAATTGGGAAATTTTTGTTCCCTAAGTATCAACTAGAAGGAAGTAGAAATGAATTTACAGTCAGATTCCCAAAGGGAAGCAAACCAATTCACATTTGGACTCCACGGAAGTCAAGTAACTGGATTTGAGGTAAGGGCTCAGACAGAATTTTCCAATCAGGTGAGCAACCCATTTTAGGGGGAAAAACGGAGCACCGTCTGTTTGGGGTATTAAATTTAATAACAAGTAATTGTAACACTTTCCGTTATGTTTCACTCAGCTCTTTGAAGAAAAATTCTGATGCTCATCGGTTAGTATGTTGAGTTGCTTTCCTCATTCGATGAAGGAGCTGTGCTCAGCCTCACAATTGAGTGTTCCCTTGTGTGGTGTGTTGTTGCTGCTGTTTGAGGCCCCCTAAATCTTCCAGCATTCGACCACCGAAGAGATTTTCGAAATCTTCACAGTAAAAGGTCCATATCTCAGAAGGGTAGTGGGAGCGAGGGTGAAGAGGGTGAGCCACGAGAACCCTGAGAGGGAAAACTGACGACAACAGATTTTCAGATTTCCAGCCTAAAGGAAGAGCTTTGTGTGGGAGCAGGTTTGGGAGGCTCAGCTCCTGGGAACACTAAGTCTCCTCCCTCCCTCCCCCCACCTTCGTGAGCATCTTGAAAGGAACTCAGAATAACAATGAAGGAGAAGCCGGTACAGGTAAGCTGCTTCCCGGACAAGTTGTCCGTCTTCTTTAGTCTTTGACGACTCCACGTTTCAGCATTTTGGAAAGCGTGGGAAGACAAAAGCTCAGTGCTGGCACAGTATAAAAAGCGCAGGGACAAAGCAGCACTTTGAACACCCCAAACCCCGAGTGAAACAAAATCTCCCAAATTTGTAGGCTGTTCCTCGAAGCAACAATAACATGAGAATTTTTAAAACTTTCTCTCTGAATTACACCACACAGTAAAAAATCTCCAAACTGAGTGTAAGCATCTGTTATATGCCAATCAAAAGTGTCCTTGAACCCTGATGGCCACACACCTTCAAGGCCTGCGGCAGGACTGGCATCTTGTCATCTGCACTTGGCTCCCTGTCTTGCTTATCCCTAAACACAAAGCAAGAATTCCTCTAAGATCCACCTTTAGGAGGGTAAATCTAATTTGATTGTCCATAGACATGCTCCTTCATTCCCCGTGGAAATTTATTTTGATTGACCAAGTATACCTTTGCTGAAATAGAAACCAAAATTTCATTTATGTAACATATTAAATGAAATCTTATAGCAAATGGAATATACTAAAGTTGACTAAACAATGTAAAAGAAATAGAAAAATTGATCGATTTATTTCAGTGTAATGCAATATGAGTTAGCAGAATAGTCCACAGGAAGAAAATCTGATTGTCTGTCTTTTTTTAATGCCTTCTTGGAGAATAAGTTCACAGGGGTTCCCATTATAGAATACTAAGTTCAACTCACCATCTTTAGAAATACGCAAGGATGTTACGGACACCCTACGTGTTCTGAAGTTGCTCCTGTCTTGGAAGGCCATGAATGGCACCTGGCCCAATATTCCCACTCCACCCCACAGGAAGGTTCTGGTGCCCAGAGGGGCTAGGGCCAGGGAAAAATAACTACATCAAGGAAGGAGGAACTAAAGGAGGGAGCAAATAAAGAAAAGGACTGTTGTTCCTCCTACTCTACAATGACATTCCAAGAGAGGGCCATCTCTCCTCCAACAGTGACCCTAGTCTCCACCCTTCTCCATTTCCGCACAGATGTGGCGTCATAAAAAGCAAATGGCCGTTCAGCACTGCCCTGGTTCCTAAGTGGACCTGCACCTGAAGGGGCCACAAGACAGCTGGTTCAGCCGCTTCTCTGCGGGCACATTTCCCACTGTCGGCTGGCTTTGCCCACCCCCCCCCCCATGTAGGCCCAGAGAAACTGGGCCCCTTAACACCCCTCAGAGCCAGAACGCGTGGAAACAATTTACCTGGGAGAGCATCTTCAAAGGCCTATGCGGTTGAGGCATTCATTCCTCCTGGCTAGCGTCATCAATGAGGTGCTCAGGATATTCCTGGATCCTGCCTTTCAGAAAACCCGCAGGCCATCACTGGTTCGATCTGGAGCAGCCCAGGTCACATCATGGAGGCAGCACTGGAAGGTGACTTGTGAGCACCCTAAGCATGGCCAGAGGCTTGGCAGCTGCTTATGATGATTTATGTTGATGGGGCAGAGCAGAAACAAATCCCCAAGATGAACGCTGGCATGTGTTTGGGGTGGCCTGCAGAGACCTGGATGCACATGGGCAGGGCAGCACTAGCCAGCAGGTAGATGTTTCCTGGTGCGTCTGTGCCCAGGTGCTGCTGCTGAGTGTCCAGCATCTCTCATCTGCCTCCATTTGCTCTGTTGCAGCCCCGTACCGTCCATCTCCTTCCACCAGCGGATAATTCCATCCCTCTTAGACTTCATTCCACAGTCATCCACAGAGTCTTCAAACAAAACAAAACAGTCTCTCAGCAATCCTAGCGAGTAGATAAAAGTATAGAAATTCTTCACCTACCAACTGTCTTGCAAAAGAGAAAGGGGCGTAGAATGAGAGTTTGGCAATCTCCTTGGCTTTGTTGAGTCTCTTGGCTTTCCCTGGGTGGTGCAATTGGTTAAGCACTTGGCTGCTAACCAAAAGGTTGGTGGTTCAAACTTACCCAAACTTACGTGCTTCGGAAGAAAGGCCTGGTGAACTGTTTCTGAAAGGTCATAGCCTTGAAAACCCTGTAGACCAGTTCTACTCTGCACACGTACGGTCACCACAACTGGCTTGGTTTTTGGTTTCTTGGCTTGGATTTCTCTGTCTGCTTGTCTGTAAACCAGAGATCATGCTCCTAGCACATGCCCTAAGAGGTGCTGAGCCTTTGTGGGGCACATGATGAGGACTGAGGCTGAGATAAAGGGCAGTAAGGACCCAAAAGCGCAGACGGAGAACCTCTTCTCTGAAGTCCTGCCCTGTGCCACTGAGTATTAGTTACAAATCCACTGGCTTGTGGCTGGCTTACTTCAGCAAAACTTGCTTTTTTTTTTTCCTCAGAAGGGACATTTTGGTCTTGTAGGGAAGTTTGCTGGCAAGTAGACTATAGTTTACAGGGTCAGCTGTGACAGCCAGTTTGTTTATCACAGAGCCAGGATAAGTTACAGGTTGTTTTTTGATGGATAGAGAAACCTACAGTATTTGAGAACTAAAGGTACAATCTGTGAAATGTAGAGAAGAGCAAGGAGGAAACTGAGTTGCAGAGAGAAACCCACAAGGTGGCAAAATGTACCAGTCTGGAAGATTCGATTAAAGAACAACCTGCAAGGGTCTTGAGTCCATTTGGTTGCCAAGGTTGTACCGAAGCACAGAGCACAAGACGGCGGCAAAAAGACATTCAGATTCTAGTCCTACGTTATGGAGATGTCTGCTTGGTGTTTTGGCAGCATAACCCGAACA